CAGCTGTACGGGAAGTCTACAACTCTGACTGGGGATGTCTGGGGATGCAAGTCAGAGGGCGCAGGAGAGCGTTCGGGGATGCTGAAGCTGCAAGTCGGGGCAGGCATTGGTCATAAAGTCTATACTCTGGCTCAGGTCCTCCCTCCCTTCTAGGACTACTGGTTGAGGATGAATATGTAACTTCCCAGCTTCTCTCTTCCCTTGTCGCACATATCTGTCTCTCTCTAAGGGAGAGCAGTCAGCTAGTCCCAGGTTTCTAAATTCCAGGTGGAGGGGGAAAACAAAACAGAAAAATCCAAACCATAGACTTTTAAGAGAATTGATGCCTTTTCTGTTGTCTCCCTCTATTGCTCTCTCGGACAATTATTTAGCTCATAAATATTTGTTTTCCCTCCAATTTGTTTCTCCTAAATCTTTCCAGCTTCCCGCTAATAAGCCGCTAAAAGTCTTAGTTCAATGCAGGTGTGATAGTAGAGCAGGGAGTCATATACTCGGAAAGTGTCCAAGATACTCCCAAGTTCCAAAGAATTAGTGGGAAGTATCTCAGAAAATTTATCTCTACAATAGGTTATCAGTTTACGCTGTGAGAATTCGTGGGTAGAAAGACTAAAGCTTCTTCAAATGTCTGCAGACATTCTAAGGAATATGCACCAAGAAACCGTTTGACCTGCCCAGAGTTATTTCCTCTTTCCCTGTGGTGTGTGTGTTTTTGCAGGATGCACGGTTCCTTTGATTAAGAGTTTTTGGATCTTCTGTTGTTTGCAAAAACAACTTCCCTTCGGGAAGCATTTATTAAGCACTTGCTTGTTCCAATCTCTTTGGGCTGAAAGTATAAATATAAAAGTAGGATAGTCCTAGCCCTAAGGGAAGACGCATTTTCCTGGGAGAATAGAAGATGTTCAGAGATAATTATTAGATATATACAAAATATTAGATGTATTCAAAATAAATGCAAATTTATTTGGGAAGCAGCAGGAAAGGGGCACTAGCAACTAGGTGAATCGGGAAAAGCCTCTTGAAAGAGATGACTTGAGCAGAGTCTTGAAAGTATTTAGAGGCTGCAAAAGTACACGGAAGGAAGACCATTGTAGACATGGGATGATAGCTGGAGAAAAGATGTGAGGCAGGATATTGAATGTTCCATTCAGCAAGATGATGCCACATGTATGCAATATCGTGAAAGGCCAGGAAGAGGGCTGATTTGGCCAGAGCAACGGGGAACCAGCCTGGAAATACAGGCTTGAGCAACATTGTGAAGGGCTTAAAAAAACCTGATCCAGAGACATCCACTTGCCTCCACTTTTTTGCTTCTGATTAAAAAATACACAGACACAGACACACACTATATATTTATTATTAGTATATTATAGTAAATATATTAATTGATAATTGTATTGGTATATTATTTATTATATTAATATATGTTGAATATATTTAAGAGGTACCAAAGAAATGAAACACCATATGTACATGTACACACATATACATGTACACACACACACATACTTTACAGACAGAAAAAAACTGGTCTGTGTGCCTTTAAAATAAGATTTGTACACACAATGAATACAATACTGTAAATAAAAACAAGACTTGAAAGTCACACAAACTCTGATTAATTATAATAACCAATCTTGGCCCCTGAGAGCAGATGATGAAACTCATGTTCCTCTTCTTGGTAGAGAGATAGGAGACTCTGAATGTAGATGGGGACATGTGCTCTCAGATGCAGCTGGTTTTGCTTGTATTTTTCATATTATAAAGGATGGTATGGTAAAGTGATGTACCCTGTTGGGAAATGACTATTATGTTAAAAGGTATGTATCATACACACACAAACACACAAATACGTATGTATGTATAGACAGGCAATGTGGTGCAGTGAAGAAGAACTGTCCTTGGAGCCAAGAAAATCTGAGATAGAGTCTTGCCTCTCACCGGCAGAAACTATGATCCTGGGTAACTCATGTACCCTCTCAGTGCTCTCAGCAGCTTTCTAATACTAAGTTACGGAGGGGCTGATTTGCATTGGTAGAGGAAATTCCTCACTAGGAGCTCCCTACAAGAGTTAGATCACAAATCCAATCTCTATCCCTCTCCCTGTGTGTGTGCACATGCACGTACACACATGTGCAAAGATATATGTATTCACACACATAGGGATATGTAGAAATGCATATTCATACAGTCACATATATGGACAGAAAGAGATAATCCTTTAAGGAAAAGTATACGGAAAAAGAAAATGAGAGAATGTGTCAGTCAGGACTGAGGCCACTGGATCTCTGTGATCTCATTCCCTCTAGCCAGCATCTTTACAAAATGATAGTGGTGCACGTTTTCAAAATGCTTGGACACCATTTAAGAAAGATATAAGCTGAATGTACAGTTCAGTTGCCACAAGTAAAAGTCATTTTAGCATCTTTTCTATCCATCAATCTTTTCCCCAAAGGTTGGAGTGAGCTTGGGCTTCAAGGTCAAGGTCATCTGGAGTCTGAGTAATTTTCCCTCAGGTCCAGTCTGAAAGCCCCTTGAGGTTTAGAGAATGTTGTGTACTTTGTCTATAGACCTATAGACGGTCCCACTCATCTTTTCTCACTTTTGGCAGAGCTCCCAAGGGCTGGTTATATCAGTTCATCCTTCTTCATTATATCCTTCCCACCCCTGCCAGAGCTATTATGCTAAAACTGTGATGGGATAGTTACTTCTCTATTCAAAACCCTTCGGAGGCTTTTTATTGCTCAGCAAGCTAAGTATAAATACAATGGCATGCAAGGTCTTTCCGCAAGCTGACTTTAGCTTGATTTCCAGTCCTAAGGGCTACCCCACTTTTTCTGTTCTATATTCTAGTGTCTAGCTCTAGCCAAACTCTTCCTTTTTTCCTCTCTACTTTTTATGCCTTTGCTCATACCTATTAGTAGAGTGTATTTCATCCCAGCAGTGAGTGATGGGGGGGTGATGGTGGTGTCAGAATATGTATATTTGTGTTGGGTAAGTTGGGTAACTAGTATTGTTCTGTGTGTGTGTACATATACACCCATGGAATGATGATGGCTTCTAGAGTCAATTCAAGTGTCACCTCCCACAAGGAGCTTTTCCTTATCCCCTCAAGGACGTAAGGTTCTCCCTCAATTGCACTAATCAGTTAGCTTGACAACCAATTGAATATATAGATTCAAAATGAAAGCACATTTGGATGTATGCATGGTGTAGGCATATCCTGAGAGTCAAAACTGAGGCTAGCTCTCCTAGCTAGAATTGTTTTCGAGGTTCATAACTTCTGTCATGACCCTGAACCAACAAATGGGAAGATCTGACTGATTCCCAAAGGAAGTTTCTGTTTCAATCAGCAGTGCATTGGGACCATGAGTAATTGTTGCAACTATCAGCCCTGGTGAGAGAGGGAGACCCAATCTCTTGAAAAAAAAAAGAATAAAGTCTGGAACAAATTTTATTCTCATCTGGTTTTTAATTCAATCAATAGGATAATTATTTTTCACCCTAAAGCAACAGAAAGAGTAGACTTTTGGAATACATTGGTTGGAGGGTGCATTAAGAGTGGTCATGAGATGGAGATTGCCAAACAAATTCAGCTGTTTGAATGCTCTGAAGTAAGAGCTCTTTTTATTTTACTTTTGTTATTATCTACAAGTTGCAACTTGCATAAAATTCAAAAGTCAGAGTCATTAGTAACTACTGTATATTCTCTGTGTACTTTGATATATGAAAATTATAAGGTATTACTTTTATCCATTAGCCTGCTCATATTTTGAAAAATGTCAAGAAAGGAAAGCTGACTCCTTTTAAAGAGACAAAAAAATGAGTCTTAACTTCCTTTCTTCTTACTGTCAAAGAAACTTCATCTTCGTGCTCAAGATTACACAGATCATTTCTCTGGCCAGAAGTACAGACTGTAAGCCTTGTGAATATGAAGTTCTCAGCAGACAAATTCTGTTATCTTCAATGTTTTATTTCTTAGCATCACTCATTACCAAATGGTGTTTGTCAGGGGTGATTAGCAAATGCTGAAGGTGGTATTCAAGGCTGTCTGAATGGAAAATCTCTATGCAATTGCCTGTGTGGAAAGAAAATATTACATTTGATCAACAATTTTGCCAGGGAGCCTTGGTGACATTATTCTTTAGGCCAGTCCGTATGGTCTTACAAGGAGTTCCTCTAAGAACATACAGTATGGCACACGCTAAGCTCTCAGTGGGGCTTCTTTGTTCATCTTTTATTTTTTGGATCAGGGCTCAATTATTTTGTAGGAAAGGGTGGAGTTCTATTTGATATTTTGATTGGTTTCCAAACTCTTGACATTAAAGTCAGGAAGATGTCAATCAGTGAGGTAACTAGACATTCTAGCTTGTAAGGTTCCAGGCATTAAAGACTCCAGATTGAGGAGAGGTTCAAAAAAGAGGCAAAGAAGGACACACACACACACACACACACACACACACACACACACAGAGAGAGAGAGAGAGAGA